GCGGATCACGAGGTCAGGAGTTCGAAACCAGCCAGACCAACATGGTGAAACCCCGTACTAAAAATACAAAAATTAGCCGGGCGAGGCGGCGTGCGCCTGTAGTCCCAGCTACTCAGGAGGCTGAGGCAGGAGAATCGCTTAAACCCGGGAGGTGGAGGTTGCAGTGAGCTGAGATCGCGCCATTGCACTCCAGCCTGGGCGACAGACAGACTCCGTCTCAAAAAAAGAAAAAAACCCTGGTATCTTATAGCAGAATATAAACCTCCAAATACAACTTACACTCAATTGGACTTCCAGAAGTCGCTCGCTAAGCGCTTCATTCTCACGGCCGTCCTAAAACGCCAAAACGCTCGTTCTATCGCCCCAGACTCTTGCTAGCACCTGCTCGGCTCGTTTTCTCTCTCGGAGGCCAGGACGCCCTCCTCAAACTCAAAGCTCTGCCCACCCCGCGCTGCGCACCCCGCAGTCCTCGCTAGAGTCTCGGCAAGCAGGTGCCGCGGTCGGCCCGGGGCCGCCGGGCAGGAGGGAAGGGTCCTGGCTCGGCCCGGCGCTCTCTCCCAGCGCCCGCGACTCTCACCTTACTCAGCTGCTGGTGGATGAGCTGCTTCAGCTCGGAGGCTTTCTCCGGAGGCAGCGACATGCTGGCAGCCGGCGTCTCCCCGCCGCTTCTTCCCGCCTCAGACGCCCTAACTGCGCGGCCCCGGCCCGGCCAGGGAGCGTTAGGAGCGACTGGAGCACAAAGCGCCGCAGCCGTTCGCCTAGCGCAGCTCCCGGGGGACGCAACGCCGCGTCAGGCCGGCGGCTGACCTGGAACTGAGGCCCCGGCAGCGGCGGCGCCAACTGTTTTCAAACAGTGGCGGACAAACCGGACTCGGGGCTGGCCCGCACGCTGCCTGATCGTTTCCGCCCGGCGCGCCACCTCCCCGCTGGCCCCGCACCCCGAGACCTCAGCGCACCCCATCGCCTTGCTCGCTAGGGTCTGCGGAAGTGCCGCTCGCCTCGCTTCGCGGCCCCCCGGCGGCCTCTTTCTGCCCTCGGAACCGGCCTCGGAACCGGCAGTTAGCTGGACGGGCCCTCAGGGCCCAGCGCCCAGGGACTCGAAGGACCCGCCTGCGCCCCGCGAGGTCCCGGGGACTCGGGCTTCCGCCTCCCTGCTGCCCTCGTTCTGCCCAGTGTCACGCTTAGTCCCCGCTGGCCACCGCCACCCCCCTGCGACCATGTTCGTTCCCTGCGGGGAGTCGGCCCCCGACCTTGCCGGCTTCACCCTCCTCATGGTGAGTCTCCGCTTGCGCTCGGGGCTCTGCCTCGCCAGGCCCCTGCGGTGTCGCCCCCCGACGCGGGGTGTTCGGCGGTGCCGGGAGAAAGAGGGCCCTAGTTTCTATTTCAGGTTCTCGGCCGGAAAAAACGGGGAGGTTGTAGCCGGAGGCAGACGTCCCAATAGAACCTTTGTCGGCTCTAAAACCAAACGTAGTCAAGTCTACAATTTGTAGTCTGTGTGTCCTGTAAAACGTGATGTGTTCGTACATTCTGGATACACCGTACTTACGTTGTGCAGGGCATCCTTCAGTTTTGTCCTAGAAAGTCTTTCTGCGACTAGTTTTAGATCAGTCTTAAGCTGGCATACTATCGTTGTTAACCGGAGAACTACTGATAGGGCAGTAAACGCTGACTCTTGCCGGTAGTTAGCAGTTTTGTCGCTCTTCATATTCGTTCATTGTTTTAATAAAGTCTATAATGTGCGAGTATTAGAATAAGACTAGGTGCGTGCCTTCAAGGAATTTACAGTGTAGTTGGCAACATGTGTAATTAATAAGAGCAATAAATGCTAGGATAGCAGTTTGAAAGGATATGGAAAGGCCCTGAGATAATTGGGAGGGAAGGGACAGAGGGCTCGTTAAGAAAGGCTTCATAGGCCGGGCGCGGTGGCTCACGCCTGTAATCCCAGCACTTTGGGAGGCCGAGACGGGCGGATCTCGAGGTCAGGAGATCGAGACCATCCTGGCTAACACGGTGAAACCCCGTCTCTACAAAAAATACAAAAAACTAGCCGGGCGAGGTGGCAGGTGCCTGTAGTCCCAGCTACTCGGGAGGCTGAGGCAGGAGAATGGCGGGAACCCGGGAGGCGGAGCTTGCAGTGAGCTGAGATCTGGCCACTGCGCTCCAGCCTGGACGACACAGCGAGACTCCGTCTCAAAAAAAAAAAAAAAAAAAAGAAAAGAAAGGCTTCATAGAGAAGGAAGTATGTAAAAGACGGAGGGGCTGTGGGCTGGGAGTAGGGGAAAGTAGGCGCTTCAGAAAGATAGATGTCTGTAACACAGTCACGTAAGCATGGGGGACTTGAAGCCTGCCAAGAATTTGGAATGACACATTGAGAGAGAATAAGCTGTAGGCTCTGTGAACCCAGAAGGCACCACTGGAAATGCACTCTTTGGAGTGGTGTAAGGCTGGAGAGAGCTGGAACTGTCATTCTTATTCACCACATATAAAACACACAGCCCCAGAGAAGAGTGTTTCAAAAAGGAGGGAGTAGCCATGTCAGAAGTAGCCCAGAGGTGTGTAAGGTGAAGAAAGCGTATGTTTGGATTTAGCGACATGTTAATGGTGGTCATCTGGACAGTTACCAGTGAAGTGGTGAAGAGAAAAGCCATATTGGAGTGGGTGAATGAATGGCAGAAAGCAAGTAAAGATTTGGGTTGTATTTTATATATATATCTCCAGTCATTAATTCAGAGACAGGCATGATGGCTCACACCTGTAATCCCAGCACTTTGGAAGGCCAAGTACAGGAGAATCTCTTGAGCTCAGGAGTTTAAGACCAGCCTGAGCAACATAGTGATACCTCATCTCTACAAAAAATAATAATAATAATAAAAATTAGCCAGGTGTGGTGGCCTGCACTTGTATCTCAGCTACTCAGGAAGCTGAGGTGGGAGGATCACTTGAGCCCAGGAGGCAGAGGCTGCAGTGAGCTGAAATCATGCCACTGCACTCCAGGCTGGGTGACAGAGTGAGACCCTGTCTCAGAAAAAAAATTTTTTTAATAAGAGATAAAGTTTCTGCTTATGTTTTTGTGGGTGACTTGGAGAATTTTTGCTATGTAGAGACACAAGAAATGAGGCTGAGCTAGAGGGCTATGTGGGGTCAAGATCTTCTAGAATGAAAGATATTAGAGCATGTTTATGTACTGATGGACATAATACAATAGTGAGGAAGAGAAGGATGGTACAGAGTTTAACCCAAGTGTCAAAATTGTTGAGAAGGGAATTACAGGAGGTGACTAGGCAATTGGTAGGTGACAACAGTGAGAAGTGGAGAACATGCTGAGGGAACACCCTGAAGGACAGAAACCAAAGGAATTGTTGGAAGAATGCAAAGGAGGAGCTACATTAAAAGGATACTTTGGGGATAACCTCAATAAAAATTAGGCATGTATTAGATGTAGTTGGTAAGGGAATGGGAAAAAGTTTAGGTAGAGTGAATAATGTTGAACTTTTTTTTTTATTTTATTTGAGACGGAGTTTCGCTTTTTTTTTTGCCTAGGCTGGAGTGCCATGGTGCGATCTCGGCTCACTGCAACCTCCGCCTCTTGGGTTCAAGTGATTCTCCTGCCTCAGCCTCCTGAGTAGCTGGGATTACAGGCATGCGCCACCACACCTGGCTAATTTTGTATTTTTAGTAGAGACAGGGTTTTACCATGTAGGCCAGGCTGGTCTTGAACTCCTGACCTCAGGTGATCTGCCCGCCTCAGCCTCCCAAAGTGCTGGGATTACAGGCATGAGCCACCATGCCCAGCGCACTTTTCTAAAATACAAAATATGGAGACAAATTTGGGCAGAAGTTTATAGTTTTGGACTTGCAGAATGTGAGTTTCCTGTGACCTAACCATGTGGAGACATCATTAGGTTGTGGAGCTCCTACATGTTGTGGGATGTAGGTAGGGATTTGGCAGCTTTATTATTTTAAGTCACGGGAAAAAGAGAGTTTGTGTGTGTGTTTAGTGTGAAAAGCTCACTTCAACGAATGAGTGAAGAGGCACTAATAAAGCAGATGGTAAGAAGACCCAAGAGAGCTTCTGTTCATACCTCGTAGTCTTTACACTTGCTTTCCCACTGCCTGGAATGGTCTTTCCCATTTCTCTGTATGGCTGTCTCCTTTACCTTTTTCAGGTCTCTAGTCTTTTGTCACCTAGGGTGAGTCTTTCCTCGATCTCTCTACTTAAAATTGAAATCAGCCGTGTACACACATCCTCGCACTTTGTCTCCGCAGCACTTACCACTGTATATTTTACTGTTTGTTTTATTGCAGGTAAACCACTCTGGCTCGAATGGAAGTTCCATGAGGGCGTGAACTTTTGTTGGTTTATTTTCCTGCGTTCCCAGTGCCTAGAGCAGCAATTGACATAGCTGACGTTCAATAAGTATTTGTTAAATCAATAGTCTCAAAGGTGGAGGAGGCCCCAGCAGTTGTAGTTAATGAAAATCAGTATCTAGCCATGATGCTATGACGCTTTCAGTACTAATACTATGACCGTTGTTTTCTGTCTAAACTTTTTGAAGTGCTGCAACCAGTCGTGTTGGCTCACGCCTGTAATCCCAGCACTTTGGGAGGCTGAGGCGGGTGGATCACCTGAGGTCAGGAGTTTCAGACCACCCTGGCCAACATGGTGAAACCCCGTCTCTACTAATAATACAAAAATTAGCTGGGTGTGGTGGTGCACGCCTGTAATCCCAGCTACCCAGGAGGCTGAGGCAGGAGAATTGCTTCAAGCCGGGAGGAGGAGGCTGCAGTAAGCCGAGATGGTACCACTGCACTCCAGCCTGGGAGACAGAGGCAGACTCTGTCTCAAAAAATAAAATAAAGTGCTGCTAATTTTGGTGACTTACTGAACATATTTTTTATAATTTCAGCCAGCAGTATCTGTTGGAAATGTTGGCCAGCTTGCAATGGATCTGATTATTTCTACACTGAATATGTCTAAGATTGGTTACTTCTATACCGATTGTCTTGTGCCTATGGTTGGAAACAATCCATATGCGACTGCGGAAGGAAATTCAACAGAACTTAGTATAAATGCTGAAGGTATGTAAGACTTTACCTTGTATTGTTCTGCTACAAGGTAGAGTTGTTTTAAGTTAGAAATAGACTTTATTGATAATTGTTTTGTAGCAAATGTTTACTTAGTGCCAACTTTGTGTAGAATTCACAACCCAATCACATTGTCCTATTCTTTTACATCCTGGTTTTAGTTGTTAGACTCTTGTAAATGGCAACTCTTATGAAGGTTGAGAATAAGATCATACTTGTGTTTTTTTTTTTTTTTTTTTTTTTTTTTTTTTAAGACGGAGTCTTGCTCTGTCACCCAGGCTGGAGTGCAGTGGTGTGATCTTGGCTCACTGCAAGCTCTGCCCCCCGGGTTCACGCCATTCTCCTGCCTCAGCCTCACGAGTAGCTGGGACTACAAACGCCTGCCACTGTGCCTGGCTAATTTTTTATATTTTTTTAGTAGAGATGGGGTTTCGCCGTGTAAGCCAGGATGGTCTCAATATCTTGACATCGTGATCCACCCACCTCGGCCTCCCAAAGTGCTGGGATTACAGGCGTGAGCCACTGTGCCCGGCCTATACTTGTGTCTTTTATAGAATTTAAAATTTCCTTTTTTTTCAACATGGATTTTTTTCCTTCTATCCTCAGTTTTATTTCTTGTTCTTACTGGTATGTGTAACCATCACTAATAATATGGAAAGGCAAAAAGAAGATTGCATTGGACTCAGTCCTGTAGGTTTAACATATGTTACGTCAACTAAGCCTCATTCTCTTAGTCATCCTCTTCCAGTATAGGATTCGTAATAATATGGTATAGATAAGGCTCAAAGAGATTGACTTGCCTGATGCCACTAATAGGTGTAGGCTCTTCCCATACTGTAAATCTTTGTAATTCCTCATTGGACTATCAGGCTTGATTAATCAGGGAACACTGGTTATAATGCACCACAGCAGCTGGTGAGTAAGAGAAGAGCTCCTGTAGATCGTGAAGCATGGGAGCACCAGTTACTGCCTTTGATGGCTAACTGTTCTGGTGATCTTTCAGTCCTCTGTTTACCATTTTAAGGTCAAATCCAGAGGGATAGAAGAGCACAAAAGGCCTTTGGTGAATTGAAAGACAAATGAAGAAGCATTTTGGTTTTTGTGTCTTATTAACCATATCATTGTTCTTAGCTTACGATAATGAAATGTACATTTGAGAAATGACCTTATTATTGAACTCCCTACAGGACAGATGGCTTTGTCAACGCAAGACTAAATTTTAGTTACTTCCTCAGAGGATAAAGGACTGTAAATGGTTAAAACCAGAATTCATGACTGGGTGCACTGGTGCACATCTGTAATCCCAATACTTTGAGAGGCTGAGGTAGGAGGAACACTTGAGCCCAGGAGTTTGAGACCAGCCTGGGCAACAAAATGAGACCCCATCTTTACAAAAAGAAAAAGTAAAAAATTAGCCAACCTGTAGTCCCAACCTCTTAGGAGGCTGACTTGGGAGGACTGTTGGAGCCTGGGAGGTTGTGGCTACAGTGAGCCATGATGATGCCACTGCACTCCAGCCTGGGTGACAAAGTGAGACCATATCTTAAAAAATGAAAGCCCCTAGAATTTGTATACTTTCCGCTAGTGATAACAGCTATCTTTTATTAAGTATTACTGTGAACTGAATGCCATGTACTTTTTTTTTTTTCTTTTTTTTTTGATACAGAGTTTTGCTCTTGTTGCACAGGTTGGAGTACAATGGTGCAATCTCAGCTCACCGCAACCTCCGTCTTCCAGGTTCAAGCAGTTCTCCTGCATCAGCCTCCCGAGTAGCTGGGATTACAGGCATGTGCTGCCACACCCAGCTAGTTTTGTGTTTTTAGTAGAGATGGAGTTTCTCCATGTTGGTCAGGCTGGTCTCGAACTCCTGAAATCAGGTGATCTGCCTGCCTTGGCCACTTAAAGTGCTGGGATTACAGGCATGAGCTGCTGCGCCCAGCCGCATTTACGTGTATTTCATTTAATCCTTACAACTGTTTTTTTTTTTTTTAAGACGGAGTTTTGTTCTTGTTCCCCAGGCTGGAGTGCAATGGCACAATCTCGACTCACCGCCACCTCTGCCTCCTGGGTTCAAGTGATTCTCCTGCCTCAGCCTCCCCAGTAGCTGGGATTACAGGCATGCGCCACCACGCCCGGCCAATTTTTTGTTTTTAGTAAAGACAGGGTTTCTCCATGTTTGTCAGGCTGGTCTCGAACTCCCGATCTCAGGTGATCTGCCCGCCTCGGCCTCCCAAAGTGTTAGGATTACAGGCATGAACCACTGCCTATGGCCTTACAACTATTTTGTAAGGAGGAACTGTAACAAAATTATTTATTTATTAATATCTCCCTATATCTTACCCATATTAAAATTGGCCCAGTTTACCCCACAATGTTGCCCAAAGTTTAGTTTGTCCAAACCAGCACCTATAGTATGAGGAGACTTCAAAAAGTTTGTGAGAAAATGAACAAAAAGATAAAAACTATAAACTTTATTTCTGAACATCAGCTTCGTCAAGTTCAAGACACTTTTGTAAGCCATGATGGCAGCCATGTAGCCCATCCCTAAAGAACTGAGGGGCCTGGGAATTAAACCATGTCAGTGCAGTCTTTTTTACATTATTAATTGAAGAAAAATGGGTGCTGTTTGCAGATTTTTTAAGATTAGGGAACAAAAGAAGTCAGAAGCAGCCAAATCAGGACAAGGTGGAGGCGTAATGATTTCCCATTGAAACTTTGACAAAAGTGCCCTTGTTTGATGGGAGGAATGAGCAGCAGCATTTTTCTGATGGACAAGGACTCTTGTGAATCTTTTCCAGTTGCTTTTCTGAGAAAGCTTTGGTTGACTTTCTCAAAACGCTGTCATGGTAAGCAGATGTTATCATTCTTTGGCCCCCCAGAAAGTCAACAAGCAGAATGCCTGGAGCGTCCCAAAAAACTGTTGCTATGACTTCTACTCTTGACTGGTTCACTTTTGTTTGGCTGAACCACTTCTGCCTTGGTAGCCATTGCTTTGAATGTGCTTTTTCTTCAGGATTATACTGGTAAAGCCACGTTTCGGCCGGGCGCGGTGGCTCAAGCCTGTAATCCTTGCACTTTGGGAGGCTGAGACGGGCGGATCATGAGGTCAGGAGATCGAGACCATCCTGGCTAACCCGGTGAAACCCCGTCTCTACTAAAAAATACAAAAAACTAGCCGGGCGAGGTGGCGGGCGCCTGTAGTCCCAGCTACTCGGGAGGCTGAGGCAGGAGAATGGCGTAAACTCGGGAGGCGGAGCTTTCAGTGAGCTGAGATCCGGCCACTGCACTCCAGCCTGGGCGACAGAGCGAGACTCCGTCTCAAAAAAAAAAAAAAAAAAAAAAAAAAAGCCACGTTTCATTAGCTACAGTTCCTTAAATATTTCAGGATCTTGGTATCACTTGTTTAAAATTGCCATTGAAAGCTGTGCTCTTGTCTGTAGCTGACGGAACACAATGGTTTTGGTGCTCATCGAGTGGAAAGTTTGCTCAACTTTAATTGTTCAGTCAGAATTGTGTAAGGTGAACCAATTGAGATGTCTGTGGTGTTGAAGGTTGTTTCTGCTGTTAATCGTCAGTCCTCTTCAATTAGGGCACAAATAGGATGAATTTTTCCTCAAATTGAGGTAGATGGTCTGCTGCTGTGGGCTTCATCTTTAACATTATCTCGTCCCTTCTTAAGATAAGTTACCCATTTATAAACTGCTGATTTCTTTGGGGCATTGTCCCCATAAATCTTTTTTTTTTTTTTTTTTTGAGACAGAGTTTTGCTCTTGTCACTCAGGCTGGAGTGCAATGGCATGACCTCAGCTCACTTCTACCTTCGCCTCCCAAGTTGAAGCAATTCTCTTGCTTCAGCCTCCTGAGTAGCTGGGATTACAGGAGCCTACCAGTATGCCTGGCTAATTTTTGTATTTTTAGTAGAGATGGGGTTTCTTCCCCCCCACCCCCAGAGGGAGTCTCCCTCTGGATGCTCAGGCTGGAGTGTACTGGTGCAGTCTCAGCTCACTGCATCCTCCGCCTCCTGGGTTCAAGGGATTCTCCTGCCTCAGCCTCCCAAGTAGTTGGGATTACAGGCGCCTGCCACCACGCCCAGCTAATTCTTGTGTTTTTAGTAGAGATGGGGTTTCACCATGTTGGCCAGGGTAGTCTCAGTCTCCTGACCTTGTGATCTGCCCGCCTAGGCCTCCCAAAGTGCTGGGATCACAGGTGTGAGGAGCAACTGCACCTGGCCCCCATAAACTTTTTTATTTTATTTTATTTATTTATTATTTTTTTTTTTTTTGAGACAGAGTCTCGCTCTGTTGCCCAGGCTGGAGTATAATGGCACAATCTCAGCCCACTGCAACCTCCACCTCCCAGGTTCAAGCAATTCTCCTGCCTCAGCCTCCTTAGTAGCTAGGATTACAGATGCATGTATGACCACACCCAGCTAATTTTTTGTATTTTTAGTAGAGATGCGGTTTCACCGTGTTAGCCAGGATGGTCTCAGTCTCCTGACCTTGTGATCTGCCTGCCTCGGCCTCCCAAAGTGCTGGGATCACAGGCGTGAGCCACCATGCCCGGCCTATTTTATTTTATTTTTGAGATGGAGTCTTGCTCCATCACACAGGCTGGAGTGCGGTGGTGCGATCTTGGCTCACTGCAACCTCCGCCTCCTGGGTTCAAGAGATTCTCCTGCCTCAGCTTTCCAAGAAGCTGTGATTGTAGGCACTCACCACCATGCCCAGTAATTTTTGTATTTTTTTTTTTTTTTGGCATAGAGTTTCACTCTTGTTGCCCAGTCTGGAATGCAATGCCATGAATTCAGTTCACTGCAACCTCCGCCTCCCGAGTTCAAGCGATTCTTCTGTCTCAGCCTCTGGAGTGGCTGGAATTACAGGCACGTGCCACCACGCCCAGCTAACATTTTGTATTTTTAGTAAAAACAGGGTTTCACCATGTTAGTCAGGCTGGTGTTGAACTGACCTCAGGTGATCCAACCACCTTGGCCTTCCGGAGTGCTGGGATTACAGGTGTGGACCACCACTCCTGGCCTAATTTTTGTATTTTTAGTAGAGACAGGGTTTCACCATGTTGTCCAGGCTGGTCCTGAACTCCTGACCTCAGGCAATTCACCCCCCTCAGCCTCCCAGAGTGCTGGAATTACAGGTATGAGCCACCGCCCCCAGCCCTCATAAACTTTTTTTTTATTTTTTTATTTTTTTGAGACTTGCACTGTTGCCCAGGCTGGAGTGCAGCGGCGCGATCTCAGTTCACTGCAAGCTCCGCCTCCCGGGTTCACGCCATTCTCCCGCCTCAGCCTCCCGAGTAGCTGGGACTACAGGCGCCCGCCACCACGCCCAGCTAGTTTTTTGTATTTTTTAGTAGAGACGGTGTTTCACTGTGTTAGCCAGGATGGTCTCCATCTCCTGACCTCATGATCTGCCCACCTCGGCTTCCTAAAGTGCTGGGATTACAGGCGTGAGCGACCGTGCCCGGCCCCTCATAAACTTTTTTAAGCATCAGTGATTTCACCATTTATCTACCCAAGCTTCACCATAAATTTGATGTTTGTTCTTGCTTCAGTTGAAGCAGAATTCATGTTGCTCTGATAGGGGCACTTAATGTCTTATCCTTCTTAGTGCCTCAAACCAGAGCCTTTTCAGGTGTGTTATAGCAAGTCAGTACAAGTTTATTTTGGTGCAAAATGTTTTCATAAGTACACATTTTCTGTGAACTTTTTGAAGACCCCTCATATATCTGATGGTCGTGCTGTGCCCTTGAAATCTTTTCTACTCTAGAGCAGTCCCTTTTTTTTCCATCACAAACCGATTTATTGAAGAAAAGACTGGGTGTATTGTTTTATAAAATGTCCCACCTTCTGATTTGTCTGATTACGTCGTCCTGTCATTTGGCTTGTTCTAGCCCCTGTATTTTCTGTAACTGGAGTTAGCTCTAAAGGCTTGATTAGATAAAAGGTTAATGTTTTGGGGCAGAATACATAAAAGGGGTTGTTGCTTTCATAGTGTATCACATCAGAAGAATAAAGTACTAGGAAACAGGAACCTAACAACAAAAAGAATTACATAGGCCGGGCACAGTCCCACGCTTGTAATCCTAGCACTTTGGGAGGCCGAGACGGGTAGACTGCCTGAGCTCAGGAGTTCGAGACCAGCCTGGGTAACATGGTGAAACTCCGTCTCTACTAAAATACAAAAAATTAGCCCATTGTGGCGGTGTGCACCTGAAATCCCAGCTACTCGGGAGGCTGAGACAGGAGAATCGCTTGAACCCAGGAAGTGGAGGCTGCAGTGAGCCGAAATCACACCATTGCACTCCAGTCTGGGTGGCAGAGCGAGACTCTGTCTTAAACAACAAACAAACAAAATTAGCCGGGCATGGTGGTGTGTTCCTGTAATCCCAGCTACTTGGGAGGCTGAGGCACGAGAATCACTTGAACCTGGGAGGCAGAAGTTGCAGTGAGCCGAGATTGCACCACTGCACTCCTGCCTGGGTGACAGAGCAAGATTCTGTCTCCAAAAAAAAAAAAAAGAATTGTATGATACACTGATGAGGAGGGTATTGCTATTACCGAAGAAGTGGTAGCTTACATTTTAAAAAGCTTAGCCTGCCCACCCCCTACAGATACATTCTTTTCAAACCTAGGTCTGTTGAATTAGACTACATGTGTTTGTCACAGATAGGTTAGAGGCTGAGTAATCTGTGCCTTAGTCTCTTTTCCCTAAATTTATACCCCCTTTCCCTAATTCCTAAACTTCCTTTGGACTGAATATACCTGGTGCTTGGTAGATTTGCTGAGTTCAGTGTACCTCCCAGTCACACCACATCATGCCAGCCATAGGAGACAGTCTCCGAAAGACCTGTAATAGTAGAGACCTGATCCACCAAAGGATTTGCCATTATTTGCAATCTGTTTATAGTAACCAGCACTTACCCCTTAGTGCAATAGTAATCCTGTGTCCTTAGAGACTGTTTTGTCCCTGACTCATTCCTTTTTTTTTGAGATGGAGTCTCACTCTGTCGCCCAGGCTGGACTGCAGTGGTGTGATCTCTGCTCACTGCAAGCTCCGCCCCCCCGGGTTCACGCCCTTCTCCTGCCACAGCCTCCTGAGTAGCTGGGACTACAGGCGTCCGCCATCATGCCCAGCTAATTTTTTGTATTTTTTAGTAGAGATGGGGTTTCACCGTGTTAGCCAGGATGATCTCGATCTCCTGACCTTGTGGTCCACCCGCCTTGGCCTCCCAAAGTGCTGGGATTACAGGCGTGAGGTACCGCACCCGGCTGCTTGTCATCCTTAGAAGTGAAGTTGGGCCGGGAAGCCTTAAGCATCTCTAGAGTGGGCCCCTTGTAGAATCTCATGAAAGCTATGGATCCTTTTCCCAGAAAAAAAATGCAAACACATTGACTCACATGACGTTTTCTATTATTTCAGATCCTTTAAAAAGTTCTAAGGAACACACGTGTACCTATTTCAGGATTTTATTACATAGCTAACATACTCCTACCTTTTACTGTTTCTTCTGTTAATCCCAGTGAGTGTTGCTGTTCTCTGGAGACAAGAGGGAAGAATATCAAAAGCCAAAAAGTTCAGTTTTCTTAAGGATGATTTTAGTTGTCATGATAACAGAAATTTTCAGGGGACAGTTAAAGTCAGAAAAAATAATTTTTGATACTTTCTTAGAGTTAACTTTTCAGAAATGAATTGTTCCATAGAATAAAGCCCACTGGCTCATTTTAAGGTACTTCTAAATTGTCTTATTTTAACCAGATGACATATATGTTCTGTATTTTAATTATTGAAAATATTTAAATGCAAAAGGTATTATAATTCAATTTTTGTTTTTTATCATAATAATTTCAACTTGCATAACTTCACTATCATATAATTTCCTTTTCTTGTTTTTGTAGTATATTCATTGCCTTCAAGAAAGCTGGTGGCTCTTCAGTTAAGATCCATTTTTATTAAGGTTAGTATGTTGTAGTTTGCCTTTTTGTTTATTAAAGTGTAATGAGAAAATAAGTAACATTAGGAATTAAGATTCAAAAATTACTGTTTTTACCGTGTGTACAGTTAAGAAGATCTGATTCTATAGAGAAATAATCTTTTAATATTTCAGATGTGTTACTGTCTTTTCATGATTATATAGAAAGGAAGTAGGACTTTTATCTTGAGTGTTACATATTTTCAGTTCGGGTAACATTGGTGAAAAAATGTAAGCATATTAATATTAGAGGTTTTTTCCATTTGTATTACATTTCAGCTGGTGGCATCTACATATAAACTGTGTATATATCAAATTATATATATGTCATAAAATATTCTGAATCCGACTTCTTTCCTCCTCCACTGCTACCACTGAGTCCAAACCACTGTCATCTTCATGCCCGACTCTACTCTTGCCCAATCTACCTCTCGCCAACGGCAGCACTGACGATCCTCTAAACCTACACCACATCACTACTCTCTTCGAAACCCTCCAGTAGCTTCTCCTCACTCAAAATTGTGATCCAGGAGAAGGGGCTTGCTTCCTAACGCACTGTGACACCAGGTTTTTGAGAAAAGAAAGGCTTTATATTGCAGATTGACTCCCAAGGAGACAGGAGTCGAGCTCAAATCTGCCTCCCTGTGCTGGCTTCAAGGCAGTGTTCTTATTAGGAAAGGTTCAGAGGTGGATTCTGAGATGAGTGGGTTAGCGATGGAAGGAAAGGGTAGATCTGGTAAGTCCTTGGGCATGCACGGTTATCTTTTCATGCTAACTCATAGGGCCCACGTGCCAGTTCAGGGGAGTGAGTATGAAACGTGGCAATGGAGAGTCAGCTTGCGACCCCAGCAAGCTTGTTCTCTGCAGACTCAACTTGGCCATATTGGTTCCAGCCAATTTCAGCTGGTTCTTTTATCCCATAAGGGAAGGAAGTTTCAGTATTTTATCAAGTAGTTTCTTATCTGCTACCCTGCAAACTCAATAATTTCTTTTTTTTTTTTTTTTTTTTTTTTTTTGAGACAGTCTCCTCTGTTGCCCAGGCTTAAGTGCACTGATGTGATCTCAACTCACTGCAGCCTCTGCCATCCTGGGTTCAAGTGATCCTCCCGCCTCAGCCTCTGGGATTACAGGCACACGCCACCATACTGGTTAATTTTTGTATTTTTAGTAGAGACAGGGTTTTGCCATGTTGGCCAGGCTGGTCACCAACTCTTGGCCTCAAGTGATCCACCCGCCTTGGCCTTTCGAATGCTGGGATTACAGGTATAAGCCACGCCCAGCCCAAACTCAAGAATTTCTGTTAGTCTTTGGTTTCTTTAACTCTTTGGGGATGGTTTCAAATTCACAGCCCTTACTGTGGCCTATGAGGCTCTATATCTGTGCTAATACAGTAGCCAGTAGCCACATGTAACTATTTACAGTTTAATTCATCAAATTTAATTTAAAATTCAGTTCCTCAGTCACTACTCACGTTCCGAGTTCTCAGGAGCCCCATATGGCAAGTAGCCGGCAGAACAAGAGTCCTGCTCACAGGGAGCTCTGCCAGACTGCTGCTCTGCGGAGCCTGACCTGCAGCCACACTGGCCTCCCTGGGTTGTTAGACATTAAGCTCATCCTCAGTCTCTCCACTCATTTCTCTGCCAGAATTCATTTTCTTGGAGACTCAAATGGTTTGCCTCCTTTAGTGTTTTCTTAAATGTTCCCTCATCAGAAAGGCCCTCTTCAACAATCCTTTCTTCCTTTTTTTTTTTTTCTCCTTGAAACAGGGTCTCTCTTGCTCTGTCACCCAGCTGGAGTGCAGTGGTGTGATCTTGGCTCACTGCAACCTCTGCCTCCCAGGCTCAAGCCATTCTCTGACCTCAGCCTCCCGAGTAGCTGGGATTACACGCATGCACCACCACACCCGGCTAATTTTTGTATTTTTTGTAGAGGTGGGGTTTCACCATCTTGCCCAGGCTGGTCTTGAACTCCTGAGCTCAAGCAGTTCATGCTTCAGCAAATGCAATGGCGTGATCTCACCTCACTGCAACCTCCACCTCCCGGGTTCAAATGATTCTCCTGCCTCAGCCTCGCGAGCAGCTGGGATTACAAGCATGTGTCACTGCGCCCGGCCAATTTTTGCATTTTTAGTAAAGATGGGGTTTCACCATGTTGGCCAGTCTGGTCTCAAACTCTTGACTTCAGGTGATCCGCCCACCTTGGCCTCCCAAAGTGTTGGGATTATAGGAGCGATAGGAGCGAGCTACCATGCCTGGCCCAGAGCCTGCCTCTTGTAACCGCTATACTAGACTACCTTCTTATATCAAAAGTTAGCCTGCATTGCTTACCTGCGTTTTAAATTTTATTGAATAGTTATTTTATGAGCAGTCTTTGAAAAATTTTCATAAAGTGGGCTCCCCCTGAAATTTTATAACCCACATTCCAGATTTACTAGCTGTGAACGTCTTGCCATACCTGCTTGATCTCTCGCGATGTGTGTACACACAGTTTCCTTCTTCGAAACAATCCAGAAGTAGGCAAGCAACATCATCATGTGTCACCCCTACATACTTCCGCACACATCTTTCAAGAACAAGGACACCATGACCACCCCCAAGAAAACCAGCATTTTAATGAATTTATTCAGGAGTATCATCCAACATACTCAGATTTCCATAGCTGTTCCCAAAATATCCTTCAATTCTGGATCCATTCATGGTTCACAGGCTGTATTTGACTGTTACATCTTTTTAGTTGTTATCCTTCAGAGTAAAACTGGCCTGCCCCGCTTTCTTTCTTTACAATATTGACTCCTTTGAGGAATCGGGGCCAGATGTGGCACGTTCTCCATTCATCTGATTGTTTCCATGTGACCAGATTTGGGTCACAAATTTCTGGCAAGAACCCTTCACAGATGGCCATGTATTGGTTATTAGGTAACGATAGATTACTTAAGTAGAGAACTGGGTTCCTTTGTCCATTACAATAGAATTTTTTTGAAATCTGGATTCCTCATGACTCATTGATTTTCTCTTTTTTTTTTTTTTTTTTGAGACAGAGTCTCACTCGGTTGCTCAGGCTGGAGTGCAATGGCACAATCTCGGCTCACTGCAGCCTTCACCTCCCGGGTTCAAGTGATTCTCCTGTCTCAGCCTCCTGAGTAGCTGGGATTACAGGTGCCTGCCATCATGCCCAGCTAATTTTTGTATTTTTCGTAGAGATGGGGTTTTACCATGTTGGCCAGGCTGGTCTTGAACTCTTGACCTCAGGTGATCCACCTGCCTCCCAAAGTGCTGGGACTATAGGCGTGAGCCACCGTGCATAGCCATTGGTTTCTTAATTATAAAGATGCATTAGATAATTCATTGCTGTTTATCATTCACTTTCGGTTTAAGCACAGTAAGTGCATCTGAAAGTAATTTCAGTATATATAAATTATATATCGTTTTTGCATAAAGTTGATGAAATAGTATATAGAATGTTGGTATGCTCTAAAACTAACTTTTAGATTTTATTCTCTCAATGGTGTGCAAAGTATAAATCAAAGCCATTCTGTGAAAAACTGCTTTCCTGGGTGAAAAGCAGCGGCTGTGCCAGAGTCATTGTTCTTTCGAGCAGCCATTCATATCAGCGCAATGACCTGCAGCTTCGCAGGTATGTTCCTGCCTCTGGAAAGTTATTTTTGATATGGTTTATACTATGATAATTTCTCTATTAAAAGATTAAAATGAACTTTAAAAGCCACGTAGATCCTTACCTCTTCTCGCTGGAGTTTAGAAAGAGGTGGGTAAGAGAAGGTCAGGAGATGGGAGGGAGTACAGTTAGGCAGATCTTTTCAGTTCCTGTGAGCTTAGTAGAGTTGGGGCATGGGAAAACATCGTGTAGAGAGAGATAGTTGGGGAACCATGTTTTTAGTGTTTCCTGTCACATGCATAGCAACATCACAGCTCAGCTAATTTAAGAGAATGAGCAGAAAAGGTACTCAGATTTATTGGTCGATAACTTTTGAAAGATTAATATTTTCAGTTATTTCCATATATGCAACCATTTTTTTAAAAAACATTTACTTTTTGTAGAGACAGGGTCTCACTATGTTGCCCAGGCTGGTCTCGAATTCCCGGGCTCAAGCAGTCTGCCTGCCTCAGCCTCCCAAAGTATTGGGATTGCATGCGTGAGCCCCCTGCACCTGGCCACATGCAACCATCTGTATTTGCAGAAATCCACTTGCCTAAAGTGTAGCTCCCTGGCACGTCAGAGTGAGTTCTTAAATGTAAGACAAAGTATCTCACAAATAGAACTATAAGCTACCATTATCACATAAAGTTGGTAACATATAGAATACTCATACTCCAAGATGTAGCTTTTATTTATTTATTTTTGAGACGGAGTCTTGCCCTGTCACCCAGGCAGGAGTGCAGTGGCGCGATCTCACCTCACTGCAACCTCCACCTCCTGGATTCAAGTGATTCTCCCGCCTCAGCCTCCTGAGTAGCTGGGATTACAGGTGCCTGCCACCACGCCAGACTAATGTTTATAATTTTAGTAGAGGCTAGGCTTCACCATGTTGGCCAGGCTGGTCTCGAACTTCTGAACCTCGAATTCACCTGCCTGGGCCTCCCAAAATGCTGGGATTACAGGCATGAGCCACCGTGCCCATCCCCAAGATGTAGCCTTTTTTTTTTTTTCTTTTCTTTTTTTTGAGACGGAGTCTCCCTCAGTTGTCCAGGCTGGAGTGCAGTGGCGTGATCTTGGCTCACTGCAAGCTCCACCTCCTGGGTTCAAGCGATTCTCCTGCCTCAGCCTCCCGAGTACCTGGGACTACAGGCGTGTGCCACCATGCCTGGCTCATTTTTTGTATGTTTAGTAGAGACGGGGTTTCACTATATTGGCCAGGTTGGTCTCGAACTCCTGACCTCAGGTGATTTGCCTCCCAAAGTGCTGGAATTACAGGCGTGAGCCACCGCACCCAGACCCAAGATGTAGCTTTTAGATCATTTCTTTTTTATTATTTTTGGGATGGAGTCTCGCTCTGTCACCGAGTGCAGTGGCGCAATCTTGGCTCACTGTAACCTTTTTAGATGGTGTAGATCATAACTTTTATCACTTATACACCTATAAAATCAGGATGAAAAAATACCAATAAGCCAAGAGTTACCTTTCAAAATGAGCTAATTTCTAGAACTTTCACAAAAGACATTATAGGCTTCATGGCGAAGGAAGAAAAGCTGTGGGAAATTTTTGCAATGGGCTTGCCTAAGTATTTCTATCTTTTTATATTGTCTCCCAAGTAAGTAAGTAGCAAATCAGCAATATTTTTTACTTAAGTCTGCTGAAACTTGTGTTTTGCCTATGCAGCAGAATATATGGAGACCAAGAGAATTTTAGCTAAAGAACCAATGTTTGCCTTAGAGTTTGTATTTGTGAGTTTTTAAAAAGTTAACTATATGATTATTTCTAGTACTCCCTTCCGGTACCTACTCACACCTTCCATGCAAAGAAGTGTTCAAAATAAAATAAAGAGCCTTAACTGGCAAGAAATGGAAAAAAGCCGGTGCATTCCTGAAATAGATGATTCCGAGTTTTGTATCCGCATTCCGGGGGGAGGCATCACAAAAACACTCTATGATGAAAGGTGAGTTTGTTTGCCTGTTCATTTGTTTTCCACTTTACTTAAAAATGAAATTAATGCAGTGAGCCGAGATCGTGCCACTGTACTCTAGCCTGGGTGACAGAGCAAGACTCCGTCTCAAACAAACAAACAAACGACGAAATTAAGTCAGGGAATGTATTGGATTACTTACTGAAACTTTGAAAACGTATTTATAAAACTGGTACTATTTTAGAGCTCTTGCGTTTAGGGAAAAGATTTAAACTTGGTTATAGAAGAACTGGTTTCTAAAAAGCCATATTTAATGCTTTATTTTGTGTAACTTTTTAGGGATTCTGATACTTACTCTTTGCAAGCTCTACAGACACACTTTTTAAAAATGTGGTAAAATACACATCCTGCAAAATTTACATACATTTATCATACATGTTAACTATATTTAAGTGTACAATCAGGTGCCGTTAAGTAATTCACAGCATCTGCTTCCATCAGCACTGTCTACTTCTAGAACTTTGCCATCATATTAAATTTAAAAATCTGTACCTGTAAATAACTCCCAACTTTATTTCTGTAAAATTGGTGTTGATGTTCCCATTTTCATTTCTTATTTTAATAATTTGAGTCTTTCCTTTTTTTTCCCTAGTCAAGCTAGCTAAAGATTTGTCAGTTTTGTTTTTCTTTGAAGAACCAGTTTTGATTTTGCTGATTATTGTTTTTCTATTCTCTATTATTCTATTATTCTCTATTATTTCTCTCTTATCGAATCTTTATTTTCTTCTGCTCGCTTTGGATTTGGTTTGCTCTTCTTTTCTCTTTCCCAAGGTGTAAACTTAGGTTATTGATTTAAAAGTTTTTTTATTTTGTACTGAATGTGTTTACAGCTGTACATTTCATCTTAGCACTGTGTTCACTGCATGCCCTATGATTTGACATGTTGTGTTTTCATTTTCACTCATCTCAGTATTTTCTTATTTCCCTTGTGTTTTTGTTCCCTGTTCCTCTCTTGTCCCCCTCACAAACACTTACCTCCTTTCTATTTTTTATTTTTTTTATTTTCTTGAGACGGAGTCTCGCTCTGTCGCCCAGGCTGGAGTGCAGTCGTGTGATCTCAGCTCACTGCAACCTCCGCCTTCCAGTTTCACGCCATTCTCCGACCTCAGCCTCCCGAGTAGCTGGGATTACAGTTCTGTGCCACCACGCCCAGCTAGTTTTTTTTTTTGTATTTTTAGCAGAGACGGGGTTTCACTGTATTAGCCAGGATGGTCTCGATCTTCTGATCTCGTGATCCGCCCGCCTCGGCTTCCCAAAGTGCTGGGATTACAGGCGTGAGCCACTGCCACACCTACCTCCTTTCTAAGAGTCAACTCACCCTTCACCTCCTGTCTGCAGCCTTGCCTGTTCCTGTCTTCTAGACAAGGAAGTTGCCCCTCTGCACTCCCACTGCGCTCCACCTCTTCTATACTTTGTTGCACTTACTTTACAAATCAGTCCTCCTAAACTTTTGCTTCTGACCATGACAGAGTAACTGATATCAGACTTGCCCTCCTGCCGTAAAAAAAACAGGAACCTGACAGAATTTATGAAACAACTGTTGTCCAGACATTGGACTACAGGCAGCACACAGCTGTTATCCCTAAGAGAAGGCAAATTTTAAAAGTCTACAGTTGCCCAGCTTTCAAAGCTTGGAGATACTTTCCGGACTGCAGCACAGGGAGCGGAACCCAGGCAGAGCACAGTGGTCTTGCTGAGTGGAGGAAATGAGTTCAGACTACAGGGAGGCTGAGGCAACTCGAAATACAGGGCAGAGAATCAGAGGGCAGGGGTGGTGCTCATTAGAGTCCGGAGGTCTGTCTCCGTGGGTCTTTTTCTGAATTCTGAGCCATAGGTATAGGGTGAAACTGAGTCCAGGCAAAGAGCAGCTTCTGGATAGCTATAAGCTTGCCCACAAAGTTAGCAGTGATAAACAGAAAATACTATAAAAGTTAGACCTACTCAGCATCAGACATTCGGGAAATGGAGATTTTACCCTAAAGAAACAATATTAAAATATTCAGTTGTATCAACCAGAATAAAATAGTTCCAAATAAAAAAGTAATAAAATAGTCATCCTCTGCCTTTCTTTTTAACAGAAGACCAGGGGGTGATATTGAAATGATTATCCCACAGTGTGTTACAAACTAGTAAGAGGCGAGATAAGTGAAGAGCATACCCCTGCACTTTCCAAGTTAAAGCCTTGAAAATGCAGGCATAGCCTGGGAGCCAGCCTTCTCCAGGTGAGAGCCTTGCCTAAGGCCATCACAGCAGAGGCATTTAGGAACTGGAATTTTCTGAGCCATCAGAGCTCATGGTGGTTCCATACAAAGATTGAGAGCCCCTAAGGTATTTGAGAACCAAGTACTGGGCTAGTGTGAGTGGGGCTAACAATTTCTACTTTGTAGTTTCTAGAGACAGATAACTGTGGTAAGTTAGCCTGGTATCACCTGCGACTTCCGAACATACACATCAGAGTCTCCTCAGTGTCTTAAATCCCTTCCTTAGAACTCTGCTCACTTTTATTTCTGTAGCTCTCTTCTCTGTCAGTCTCGTGCTTTCAAGTTTTGGCATGGCATTTTTCTCATAGTTCTTGGTTTTAGGGTGTTAGGAATAATTTTTGTGTTTATTGGCAAGCAGGAAACTTTTTGCATTGGTATATCTCCATCTCATCACTAGCTTGAGGTGTTTATAGTATGATAGGAGACTATGTTTTGGAGTTAGAGAGACCTAAGTTCATGTCCCGTCTCTGCCACTTACTAGATACAGAACTTTAGGCATGTTAACTATGTATTCGATTTTTGTTGTTTTGTTTTTTTAAAAACAGAATCTTGCTGTGTCTCACGCGGTTCTCCTGCCTCAGCCTCCTGAGTAGCTACAAGTGCACGCCACCACGCCCGGCTAATTTTTGTATTTTTAGTAGAGATGGGGTTTCACCATGTTGGCCAGGCTGGTCTCGAACTCCTGACCTCAGGTGATCTGCCCGCCTCGGCCTCCCAAAATGCTGGAATTACAGGCATGAGCCAGCGCGCCTGGCCTGTATTCAGCATCTTTAAACCTGTTACCTCATAAGAGTAGCTAACACTTCTGTCATATTTACTGTGTGGTCACTGTTTTAAGCATTTTGCCTTTACTACCTCCTTTCAACCTCACAACAACCTGTGAAGTAGGTTCCATTATCATCCCCCTTTTATAGATGAGGAACACCCCTGGTTAAAGTAACTTGCCCAACATATCTGGTAAGTTGAAGAGCTAGAATCTGAATGCTGGTGTCTGTCCTTGTTCCCGTTATTCCAAACTGATTCTTTTATAAAATGGAGCTAATTAGAGCTTCCTCAGGATTATTACAGGGATTGTCATAAAATTTGCAGATAATGCTTAACACATAATAATCACTCAACGTTTTTGGAAGAAGTAGGAACTTTTCTTTCCTTTAATGATTCCATTCTCTTCCACAGTTTCCCTCACTGCTTTAGATAGTCACTAGGTGTTATTTTCTTTCAGTCTCTGCTGTGGTGCTTCTGAAAATCACTGTCTTCTGAAGTAGGTTTGGGGAGTAGATCAGAACATACCTTATCTGCTGTAGCCAAGGACACAAAGGCAGCTTTTTCATGCAGCCGTGGGGTGAGGCATGATCATGCATGTTCCCCAGTGGGTGTTACAGGGGCCTGCTCTCACAAGTAGAAAACTTTATGTAGGGCAAAGGGAGATGGTAAGTTATCTTATAATGTGGCGTCTTTTCCTTACCCAAACCAGGCAGGTTATCATAGCTGTGAAAACAGACACACTAGAATCAACCCTTGTACCTGTGAAAAAATACTGATTCTTATTTTTATTTCTTGTAGCTGTTCTAAAGAAATCCAAATGGCAGTTCTGCTGAAATTTGTTTCAGAAGGGGACAACATCCCAGATGCATTAGGTCTCGTTGAGTACCTTAATGAGTGGCTTCAGATAATCAAACCACTTGTAAGTTTTATTATAGCCTAAGCCTCTTCTTTGGTTGTGTGTATTCATTAACTTGCATTTTATATACTACCTAAGTAGACCAAATAAGTGAAGGTTCATATTAAATATAGACATACCTTTACATAAAATTTAGTTTAAGGTGAACTTTTGAAAATTAGAGGACAGTTAACCAACCTATTATTTACAGTTGTTTCATTAAAGCTGACTTTCCAAAAAGGAAAATCCTTAGTTCTTCATTGTACTTACTATTCATGTTAGATTAATTATGCCAGACACAGTCTTGCAATAATAAACAAGCCTTCTGTGGAATTCAGGAATTTTTTTAGGAAAGTAAAAAGTACTGCTACATGAGCAATACTCTGGCTATTGAATAAATACTACAGTTGATGTTTTTCTCTATTGTGAAACAAGAGCATTACACCCAGGGAAGTGAGTCAGCCTTTAGGCATAACAGAACACCTCATAAGGCTGCTTTATAAGGTGGGTACCTAGCTTTTTAATTCATGCTTTTGCAAGAACAAATTGATACAAATCACATGACACTGATTTTTTTTTAATACCATATTCTTTTTGAATGTGATTTTCCATAATAAACTTCATCTGCAGCCTTTCTGGCATATCTTTATAATTTGGAATTTAAAGAAATTTATCTTCAGTTGACATGAAGACAAACTTTATTTTTCCTTAACAATAAAACCGGGCTATAAAAGTGTCAGCCAAAAGGAACACAAAAGGAGAGTTTTATAATTCACTTTAAAAGGAGATCTGATGGTAAAAGTTTAAAGATAAAAATATTTTGTTCTTCAATTACAGAGCGATGACCCCACAGCATCTACCTCACGGTGGAAAATACCAAGTTCTTGGAGATTACTGTTTGGCAGCGGTCTTCCCCCGGCACTTTTTTGATCTGTTTTCCGTTTTATACCTTATACCCAGAACACTTACTACCAACACAACTGTTAAACATTCTAGACAAAAAAATCGTATGATCCGAGAACGTATTAGGAAATTACCTTCGCTGTAATGTCAAAGGAAAAGATAAAGGATCTCTTTGCCATGCTTTTCATCCTATGCAACAAATGTGAATTTTGTACAATAAAATTTTATTTCCTAAGTAATTTTCTCTTAAATGTATTTTTTTTAAATTTCAGACTCTGTATTAGCTTCCTAGTTCGGCTCTAATCACCACAAACTTAGTGACACGCCAGTTTACTTTTTTAATTAATTAACTAATTAATTTTCATTGTGTATGTTAAGTAAAATGAGACGAGGTCTTGCCATGTTGCCCAGGCTGGTCTCAAACTCCTGGGCTCAGGCAATCCTCCTGCCGTGGCCTCCCAAAGTGCTGAGATTACAGGCGTTACACCACCATGCCCAGCCACAAATTTGCTTTTAAATTCTGACTTCTGAGTTCTGGAAGTCAGAAATCCAAAACTGGGTCTGACAAGGCTAAAGTCGAGGTGATAGCAGGGCAGTGCTCCTGAGGAAGGCTTTAGGGAGAATTTCTGCTGTTACCAGCTTCTAGAGGTTGCCATATTCTTTGGCTCATGGGCCCTTGCATCTTCAAAGCCAGCAGCTTAGCATCTTCAGATATCTCACATATAAAAGGACCCTGTGATTGCCCTGGGCCCACCCCAATAATCCAGGATAATTTCCCCATTTTAGAAGAATTTTAATCAAAATAATAAAAATGGTTTTCATTTTCGAGTGCCTGCTGCATACCAGTCACTGTTCACCCCTAATCTTTGGGATGTACGATTTCACTGACCTCTGTGCCTTGGCTTTCTCATCTGTAGCACAGGCGCTACCCAGCACTCCATAAAGGTTTCCTTTTGTTATGTAAATCATTCTGGATTCTGTGACCTTTATCTGTTTCCATTTTGGTTAAAATATGAAATGGGGGTTGACATCAGCAAGATGGCAAAAAGGAAGTACCAGTCCTCGTTACCCCACAGAAACATCAATTTATAGACCAAGATGCCAGAAACCAGTTAAGTTGCAGTATCCCCACCTGGTGAGTGCAAAATTAAGAACAGCCACGTTGAAATGAGTAGGAAGAGTCATTTCACTTTACCCCACCAAGGATGACAGCCCAGCATGACGGCAAGAGTACACCAGCTCCTGGCTTTTCCCTGGGTTGAAGGGGGCAGACTCGGGGCGGAGGGGGAGAGAAGTGGAGAAGGTTGGAGCATGTGACCAAGATTCTGGCTCTTTCGTCTTGTCTGACTTCGAATACTGACAGAACTGGCATCCTTTGGATGCCTGGGGTCTGCTAAAAGCACATGAGAGTGGAGGATAGCTTGCCGTGCCACCAGAGCCTGTAGTACCACAGACAGGCCAGGGTGGCTGGACGCCATCAACAGAAATCACCCAATTTGCATTTTCTCTCCCAGGAGAAATGGAACTTACACACCAGCATTCCGGCTTTTTGTAGTGCCGCCCAAGGGACTGTTGCCCATCTCATCTAACTCGGGAGCTTATAGGAAGCTGTCGTGCTTTGCCAGAGAGCCACTGAGAACAAAGGGGCAACTTGCAGCTGCAGCTCCAGAGAACGTGCAGTTCTGAAGATAGACACCAGAGGGAGCAAGAGATTACAAGATGAAAAACCAGCAACCTTTAGTTGGAAAATAACACAGTACTAAAAAGTTGAACTTGGAAAAACATTTAAGAGGTTCCAGAATCTCTACCTGGGCTAGTTGGTGAAGGTCTCCCCGGTACAAAGCCAGTATGCAAAGATTGGGAGTGGCCGAGTGCAGTGACTCACACCTGTAGTCCCAGCACTTTGGGAGGCTGAGGCGGGAGGATCACCTGAGGTCAGGAGTTCAAGACCAGCCTCACCAATATGGTGAAACCCCATCTCTACTAAAAACACACACACACACACATTAGCCAGGCGTGGTGGCGCGCACCTGTAATCCCAGCTATTCGGGAGGCTGAGGCAGAATTACTCGAACCCAGAAGGCAGAGGCTGCAGTGAGCCGAGATCATGTCACTGCACTCTAGCCCAGGCAACAGAGCGAGGCTGTCTCAAAAAGAAAAAGAAAACATGAAGCTCACTGGCAAAGTAAATACAGACAAATGCAGAATCCTTCAGGACTATAATGGTAGTGCACTTTTAATTCTGGTACAGAATTTACAAGACAAAGCATAAAAATAACTGTAACTGGCCAGGCACGGTGACCCACACATGTCATCCCAACACCTGGGGAAGATAACTTGAAGCCAGGAGTTTAAGACCAGCCTGAGCAACAAAGTGAAGCCCCATCTCTAAAAATCAAAACAAAAACTGTAACTGTAAAAATATGTTAAAATATCTTAATGGATACACACTATGTAAAGGTGTAACTTGGGACATCAATAACTTTTAGCTTTTGCACAGCAAAACAACCAGCAGAGTAAGCAGACAACCCACAAAGTGAGAGAAATTCGCAACGATGCATCTGACAAAGGAATAATATCCAGAATCTATAAGGAACTCAAATGAGGTAGAAAAAATAATCCCATCACAAAGTGGCAAAGAACATAAATAGACAATTCTCAAAAGAAGATATACAAGCAGCCAACAAACACGAAAAAATACTCAACATCACTAATCATGAGGGAAATGTTCATTAAAACCGCATTGAGAACACCTTACTCCTGCAAGAATGATCATAATTAAAAAGTAAAAAAAAAACAACAGATGTTGGCATGGAGTGGTGAAAAAGGAACACTTCTGCACTGCTGGTGGGAATGTAAATTAGTACAACCACTAGGGGAAACAGTGCGGAGATTACTTAAAGAACAAAAAGTAGAACACCATCTGATCCAGCAATCCCACTACTGGGTATCTACCCAAAGGAAAATAAGTCATTATATGAAAAAGACACATGTACACACGTTTATAGTAGCACAATTCACAGTTGCAAAGATACAGAACCAACCCAAGTGACCATCAACCGAGTGGATAAAGAAAATGTGGTATATTCATCATGGAGTACTACTCTTCAGCCATAAAAAAGGAATGAAATAATGTCTTTTGCAGCAACTTGGATGGAGCCGGAGGCCATTATTCTAAGCAAAGTAACTCAGAAATGGAAAAGCAAACATTGTGCCTCTCACTTGTAAGTGGGAGCTAAGCTATGAGGGCTCAAAGGCATAAGAATGGTATGATGGACTTTAGCAGGCCGGGCACGGTGGCTCACACCTGTAATCCCAGCACTTTTGGATGTCAAGATGGGTGAATCGCTTGAGGCCAGGAGTTCGGGGCCAACATGGTGAAACCCCATCTCTACAAAAAAAAAAATATATATATATATACACACACACACACACACACACACGTATGTATGTATGTATGTGTGTATATATATATATATATATATAAAAATTAGCTGGATGTGGCAGCATATGCTGGTAGTCCCACCTGCTAGGGAGGGTGAGGCACAAGAATCACTCGAACCCAGGAGGTGGAGGTTGCAGTAAGCCAAGATTGCACCACTGCACTCCAGTCTAGGCAACAAAACAAGACTCTGTCTCAGGCAAAAAAAAAAAGATATAATGGACTTTGAGGACTTAGCCAGGGAGGTTTAGAGGCGAGTGAGGAATAAAATACCACATGTTGGTTATAACGTACACTGCTCGGGTGATGGGTGCACTAAAATCTCAGAAATCACCACTGAAGAACACTATGTAACCGAAAACCACCTGTACCCCAAAAACTATTGAAATAAAAAATTTAAAAATAATTTTTTAAGATGCGTCTTGCTATGTTGCCTGGGCTGGTTTTGAACTCCTGAGCTCAAGCCATCCTCCCACCTTGGCCTTCAGATAGATGTGCTGGGGTTACAGGCATGAGCCACTGCACCTGGCCCTACATCAATAATTTAAAGTAGAGTTGTAAAAGTGGTTTTTGTATATGATTGAGGTTAAGTTGTTATCAGCTTAAAATAGATTGTTACAAGTAGAAGATGTCTCACTGATAACCACAAAGGAAATACCTATATTCTTTCAAAATTGAAGTCAATCCTCTGCAACCCTGCTGCTGCTCTGTCCACTAAGTTTATGGGATATTCCAAATCCTTTGTTGTCATTTCAACAATGTACACAGCATCTTCACCAGGAGTAGATTCCATCTCAAGAAACCACCTTCTTTGCTCATCCATAAGAAGCCACTCCTGATCTCTTCAAGTTTTATCATGAGATTGCAGCAACTTATTCACGTCTTTAGGGTCCACTTCTAAATTAATTCTTCTGCTATTTCCATCACATCTTCCAGTTACTTCTTTCACCGAAGTCTTGAACTGCTCAAAGTCATCCATGAAGGTTGGAATTGACTTATCTTAATGTTGATATTTTGACCTCCTCCCATGAATCAAAATATACTTAGTGTCATCTAGAATGGGGAATCCTTTTCAGAAAGTTTTCAATTTACTTTGCTCAGATCCATCAGAGGAATCACTGTTTATGGCAGCTATAGCCTTAGGAAATGTATGTCTGAAATAGGAAGACTTGAAAGGTGAAATTACTCCTTGATCCCTGGGCTGCAGAATGGATGTTATATTAACAGGCATGAAAACAACATTAATCTCCTTGTACATTTCCATCAGAGCTCTTGGGACCAGGTGTATTGTCAATGACTGGTAGGATTTTGAAAGGAATCTTTTTTTCTGAGCGGTAGGTCTCAACAGTGGGATTAAAATATTCCGCGAGCTATGCTGTCCACAAATGTGCTACCATTCAGGCTCTGATGTTCCATGGATAGAGTACCGGAAGAGTAGATTTAGCATAATTCTAAGGGCCCTGGAATTTTTGGAATGGTAAATATTGACTTCAGCTTAAAGTCACCAGCTGCTTTAGCCCCTAACAAGTAAGCCAGCCTGTCCTTTGAAGCTTTGAAGCTAGGCATTGACTTCTGCTTTCTAGCTACGAAAGTCCTAGATGGCATCTTCTTCCAGTAGAATAATGGTTCATCTACATTGAAAATCTTGTTTAGTGTAGCCGCCTTGACCAATTAGCTAGATCTTCCGGATAACTTGCTGCAGCTTCTGTATCAGTAGTTGCTGCTTTACCTGCATGTTTACGGTATGAAAACAGCTTTTTTTCCTTAAATCTCATGAACCGACCTCTGCTAGCTTCC